TACTAATCCTCTTCAACTCTGTCCAACACCACCACCTGCTGCACACAAATTACTACCAACAGAGGGGGTCATGTATGAATTTGATGTCAAAATCCCAGTTTTCCCCAATTAGCTCTCTGACATCATTGCACATCTTTGTTCAGAAGTCTGACTTTCAATACTGAAACCATGAAAATAAGATGGAAATATAAAATAATAAACTAACAGAAAATAAAAAAAATAATTTCAATCATTAATAAAAATACTTTTTATTTTGTTGATTAAATCTTAATTTTGTGTGATAAAACAAGTGTAAGAGAGAATGAGAGGAAATTTTAAAGACATGGTAGCATCTGAAGAAGGGCCAGGAGGCAGAGCTGGAGGTAGAAGACATGGAGATTCTCTAGGGGTGATGAGGATGGATAGGAAAGGGGACATCATAGGATCAGCTCATGTTGGATGTTTTAGCGATAAAGCCAGACTGAGATGGTTTAGACATGAACTAAGGAGGGATGTTAAGGCTGGAACTGCCAGGCAGGAGACCAAGAGATTTAGGCATGGAATGAAAGAAGTTATGAAGGTAGAAGCCTGGGTCAGGTGGAGACAGGAGACTCGGTATGGAAACCACAGAAAGGGAAGAGAAGTGAAGAAAATTCATGACCTCCTTAACATTAAGTTCACCTCTAACCCTACATCGCCGTAGCTGAGGAATTCAAACCTTTAAGGTTAGTCCTCATGCCTAAATGATCACATAAACATTTATTTAATAACTTACAATTTTAAAACTTAACATTTATCTTTATATCTAGTTTATGATTTAAGTAATGTAAGTACTAAGACTCTAAGTACAAAATCGATCTAGAGATTTTAATGCCGAAATTAAAATAAAAAGACCCGACTAGTAATGTGATTTTGACCAGGAATAATAATTTTTTAGTGATCTATAAAAATGTAAAAAAAGTAGAGTGCTTTTAATAAATGGAAAAACGTCCTTCTATAACAGACTACATATAAACTTATGCATTAAATCCAGTAGCAATCTTCTCCCTCACTATCTTCCTCTCCTTTGCAGCTGTAGCACCGTTTCTGTCTTTTAAAGAAATTCAAATTTTTTTCCACATTAACACCTCTAGTTGCAGTGCTGCTAAATAGGCACTTCCTGTTGTCTGTTGTCATGGTGACTCATGAAAACATTTGCTCTAAGTAGGGCTGACACAGAGTTTATTAAGGAAAACCTGCTCATGATCAGGTTAGTTCTGGGGAGAATGTTACTACGGTAACAGAAACAGAGGTTGAGAAACTCTTTGTAAAACAGAAAGCTCATTTTCCTGATTTTAGGTTTAGAAAACTTAGTTTTCAATAAACCTGCTTTGTAAAACAGGCCTCTGTAAGGCAATTTTTGAAAAGATGTGAATTTGTAAAACTCCAACTGGAAAACAGAAACAAAATACATTTGAAAATGTTTGAAAAAAAAAAAACTATAAAAAAATTATATATGAAAAAAGACTTAAATGTGAGAAGACAAAATTACTCTCAACATATTTTTATATATATAATTAGGAAGTTCTTCAAATTGTATTTAAAGATTGCATTTTTTTTATTTCCATTTACAAAACATAAATAATGTAACAGTATTACCTCCATACAGATGTAGGGACCCTGACTATAATCTGGAGTGGGGGCTGTTATTACCTGGAGCAGGAAGTATGCTATGCTCTCATTCCCACAGCTCGCGGCCAGCATCAGGGGGGTCAGGCCTCTTGGTGTGGTCGCATTCACATCCACTCCAGCCTCCAGCAGCAGATTAGCAATGTTGTCATGTCCGATGTAAGAAGCATACATGAGCGGGGTCCATCCTCCCTTGTTCTTCCTATCCAGGTCCACTTCACGCCTGCTAGACATGTCAGTCAGCTCTAGGGTCGAGCTAGCATAGTTTTATTTTTATCGCTAAAGGGACTTACTTTTTAACGCATTCAGCCACTACGTCGTACTGGCCGATGGAGCAGGCAGTGTGGAGATCCAGAGGGACATCCAGCTCCTCGGGTCGCAGCAGGGAGTCCCCCAGCCACAGGGAGAGGCTGGCCCCCAGCTGCTCCGACTCACTGGCCTCGTCACTTAACTCGGACATTTCCCTCAGTGCTCAAACTAACAGAAAAGTCCTCACACAGCTGAGTCCCAGAACCAGAACCAGTCAGATGTAAAACACAACAAGCTGCTGCTCAGTTTATCAGCTAGCTTAGCTTAACTGTAAACCCAGTTAAACTACACCTCCTCCTCCCAACACTACAACACAAGTGAGGCAAGATTTTACAGCGTCCAAATCTAAATAACCGAGCTTACATCCATGAAGAGGCTCGTTTCATCCAGAAACACCGACGCGTCGGCGCGTGCATAGAACTCCAAAAAGTTGTGTCTGTGCGCGTGTCGTTTTAAGACAGTCACGTGACCACCACAGGAGCCGTTTGGAACTGACTGAAAGTGTGTTTGTAAGCGCAACTGTATACTACCCTTTTAGAAAATGGAAATGTTTTCTCAAAAATTTCGGTCACACTACTCCGCCTTGTAAAACAATATATATATCCCTTTCAACTTTTTCTTTTCCTTCTCCTCCTTTAACTGTTGGAGCTGATACAGAGGCGTAGCCAGAACATTTTAATAAGGGTGGCCAAGCAATAACCATTTTACAGTGAGAGGTGGCCAAAAGCAGATAGGTGCCAGAACCTAAGAGTAAATCTACACTGTTCCAACAGGAAAATGAACAATCACATTATCCATATTTTCTAAATAAAAACAAACTATACTTTCCTACACCCTGTGCTAACAAATAGACACATATATTTAAACATCCATGTTGTCTAAATAAAAGGTGTGGTGGGCAAAATTCTTTCAGTTTTGAGTTCTGTCGCGAACATCTTATTCATTGTCATTACTAACCTACTTTTATTAATAATCATTCAGCATAAAATTTATATTTACAAATACTAATATCTACATTAAATGGATTACTTATTATTAAAGTAGTTATTTATTGTGCATGATTAACCACAGGGTGGTCAATAAAGAATTAATAAAAACAAATGTATATTAATATATATATATGTGCACCTGTCAACTGGAGGCACCTGCCTCTGTGATCATTATCGAATTAATCAAGAAATATGGAGCAGCTTCGAAGCAGAATAAAGGCTTCACCCATATGGGACCTTTTTGATCTTGTATTTGTTTTAACTTTCTCGTTTTGGTCATCATGTTCCTGTCAGTTATCACTCAAGCTTCAATCAATCTTAATTTGAATTCAATTCCTGTAGTTTTTTTTTTTTTTTTTTTTATCTAGTCCCCAGGCCTCCTCTTTCACATGTTCACCTAAATGTTCATGTTAAATGTTCACATTATTACTGATATGTTGTAAATATTTTTAAATTAAGATGTGAAATAATACAATACAACAGTGAATGACCTAAATTATATTATTGTACTAGGTCTTCGAGTGTCAGCAGTGTCAGTCTGTCAAATAGGCTACCTGTAGGGATTATAAAGGTCCACCAGGTGGCAGTATTAATTGGCATGGTTTAGACGCAGCGTCATTATCTACGAAGACGCCTCATTGGACGCTGTCGGTAGCGAGACTGACGTGCCCAGATGGCGGCCATCTTGGATCGGATCACAGTTCAAACAGCTGCAGTCAGAACGAAAAGGAGGCGCCTAAATCTAATTTAATCACATGAAAGATGAGTCTGAGATAATATTACAACAATGACTTACATGTCACAACCCCTTAAAACACCAAAACAAATTGTATAATAACCTTTCAGTTAGATTACACATATTTATTCAGATTCAAACTATTAAAACTGAACTCAAACTGGATTAGATATATGCAAAGTAATATATTTTGCAAATACATATGATAAACAAAAAAATATATGAATATATTATATAATTATGTTTTACAATTATTGTATGTTTATATATTATATTATTATTATTCATTCCGACAGCAGCTGCCCGAATTGTGGTCCGATCCAAGATGGCCGCCCTCTAGGCACATCGGCCAGCGTCCAATGAGGCGTCTACGTCCATAATCTATGTTCATGACATCTTATCCACCAATCAGCAGCTCCAACTTTTCTTTCTGTTAACTGCACTCAATTGTGCACGGATAGAAACACACTCTGCCCCTTCCGGGACTTTTAAATCTACAAAATGTTACTTTAAATCCTCAATTGTGAGCAGTTTTAGATTAAAGCTTTGCCTTTAAGCCCTAACTTTGCTTTGGAAACACCTGGAAACATTCAAAAAAAATTTCTCAGATAGTGCCCAACATTTTATTAAATCTAATCGACTTGAACTTTACCATCAGACAAATAATCTAGAACCTTTATAAACATCTGCTCTAAATGGTGACATTAATTTCATCATTTTCATAACATAGCTGTTTATATATATATATATATATATATATATATATATATATATATATATATATATATATATATATATTCTCTCAATATTAGAGCTTCACCAAATATGGAAGGGCAGCTAATTTCTAGAAACAGGCTGTTTAAGGCCTCTTATTCTTTTGATTTTATTCATTAGTGGCCCCTTATGCTTCCAGCTGCTATATTTATAAAAAACTTCAGGGAAAGTTCTACTGGAAGTTTAATATACGTCTGAAAACTAGTCTGCAGCTTTAAGTGAACATATTTTTAGTTTCTTTTTTTTAATGAGGAAATTCCTACTGAACAATTAAATAATTCATCAGTCACTTTTGGTATGGCAGTTGCCTACCTAATGCTGCCAAAAAGGTTCTATTCGAGTTATGTCTGGCTTCTTCGTATTAGGCAGTCATCCAGTGGGTGTGTAGTTGGAAAAGAAATTACTACTTCTTTCCAAAGGTTTTTTAGGGTAGCCTTTCTTCTCATAATCAGGGAAATCATTTTTTGGTATTTAATCAGATTAAATTTTATCATAAAACATCTAAAATATTAAAGTATGAGTAAAAAAAAACAAGAGAGGCAATCTATGATACAGCTTCGCATCTTTACTGTATTTTGCAATTATAGTAAATTAAAACTTTCTGTAAAAATAATACATTCCAGAGAAATAACATGTGAAGAGGTTTTGTAAATCTTATCTGGTTAACACAAATATTTACTATCCGTGTTGAGTAAAAAAGTTTTATAAAAAAATATCCAGTCATCAAGTTTAATTCATTCATGTTGGCCAAGGCAACTCTGATACTGATCTGGTTAGAAATGAGCAAATATTTCAGGTGTGTTTTTTGTTTATTTAGAGGTACTTTCAATACAGCAACGGAGGTGTTGTGGATTAAGGTCATTTCCAGATGCTTCATCCAAACAGGTACACATCCAGAGGAAGTTGCACTTTTTTTTTCAGTTAGATTTTATGGAAAAATTGTAGACTTTCCGCACAGAAACATCAGAAGAAATTGAATTGGAACTCCTCTTTCGATGGAACAATGACAAAGGCTGCCTTCTCCTCCTGAGTTTGCAGCTTCGGCTTCTCGGCCCCCTGGGGATCCGTCTGCTGCTGCTGATCCTCTGAGGCTCCAGGAGCAGATTTCCCCTCAGCGCGACGGTGAAAAACTGATTTCTTTGGGGCATCCGACACTACTTTAACCTGAGCTGATGCAGTTTCTGTAAGAGACCAGTTAAACATGTGGATTAAAAAAAAAGCTTCTACAAGGAAGCGTTTAATGAAACCGTTCACTCACCACTTTGAATGAGCTTGAACTGCTTGTTCTTCTCTTCCTCCATTTTCTTTCTGTAATCTCCAGTCATGGCTCTCATCAACTGCCGCTTCTTGACCAGAGGAGCTTTAGAGCTACGCAGTGTCTTCAAGGCTCGAGAGGCCTCCTCTTCTACAGGGAATAAAACATTTTGAAACTCAGAACAACGGAAAGTGACCAAACAGAACACACTGTCTCTTTAAACATCAATTGCAAGGAGAAACCTCCAAAGGTTAATTGACTTCTTTTAGCTTTGGGCTGTAAATAGATGTGTAAATAAATCTAGAGACGTCATCTTCTATTTCTTCTTTTTAAATGGACCACAGAGAAACCAAGTACAAGGAGAAGAGAAGAGGTCCTAAAATGGAACCTTGGGGTACTCCAAACATCAGATGAGCCTTAGACGAAAAAAAGTAACCCAAACGGACAGAGAAACTTTTATGCTGAAAAAAAAAAAAACCTAAACCGCCAAAGAGCTTTCCATTTAACAGCAATGAAATGCTCTATGATCAAGTAAAATAAAGTGCTCAGCTAAGGCTGCAGACAAGACTAAAATGATTAAAGCAGCAGGATCTCCTATCAGTCTGCAGGTAAAAGCAATTCTTGTTTGAATAATTAATCCCTCTAGGGAAATAAAGTGCATCGATATTCTGGTGGAAGTTATTCTTTATTTTGGCTTTTTTCTCATCTCAGTAGGCAGGTAACAAACTAGCACATCATCGCCCCCATGAAGCTGTAGGGAAAGCAGTCGGGGACTGAGTTGGATAAACAAAGAAGAATAAAAAGGTACTCTGTTGCTCATTTTTATGTTTTATAATTTATTAATCTAATTTTCCTATTTTAATTAAATATATTATGTGAATCTTAACTGCAGTTCTGCATATTTCCATTGTCCTTCTGCCATGTGTTTGTAGATTCTCCTGATACCAGTTGGTGGTTTTGAGTTATTTTGAAGTCATTCTGTGTCTCTAGTGACCTTTTTTAGCTTTTCTCATTTCAATTGCTTGCCATCTTTTTATTTGTGACAATATGTTTCCTGTTTTGTTTTGTTTTTTATCACCTCCCATTCCTCTTTGTTGTCATTTCAACACCCCATCTGCAGTCTTTTCTGTATGCCTTCCTGTCTGGTTTCTTGTTTTCAACATACATCTCTTCGCTTTTGCATCCTGACTTTGCCATTTTATGTGGGAGTTGAGGTAAAATAATCATTTTCTTGAACCAAGGAATATATTCCTGGAATAAAACTTAATGCGCTGTGACCTTGGATAAGTAATGTGTAGAGAAAAAAATAACACTAACTTTGTTTTGGAGTTCCCTTCTGAGACCGTATTCCTAGCTCCAGCTGTTCGATACACCAGTCCAGCTGCCTGTTCAGCTCCTCCTCTGGGCTCTGAGAGAAATAAACATTAAGACATGAAATAAACCTTTTAATAAAGTAAGAGATGAAGAAAGTTGGTCATTTTTGCAGTTACAGGTTTTCATGCAGCTAGCCTGATGCTAAATGGTATTAAGCAAGCTTTTGTGCTGATGAAGGTTCTCAGTCATCCAGGTCATAGTCATTCCGTAAAAATTCTAAAAATATTCACTGGACTTGGTTTTCAAGATTTGAAGACGTTTCGCCACCTCTCCAGGAAGCTTTCTCAATTCAAATGTCTGGATCCGCAGTGAGTTTGAGTCTTATATAGACAACGCCTTGTATCGCTTGGAAACATGCAATAGAAACCGATGAATGGGTCGTTAGTTCCATCGTTAGCCTGTAATATCTGAAACTGTCTATGATTCTAGGGGTCGGTCGTTAAAGGGGGGATTGTCATTAAGGGGGGGATTGTCTCCTGTAATACCTGAAACCTGTCCATGATTGTTAAGGGTTGGTCGTTAAAGAGGTACTGCCATCTACTGTTCAGTACCGTCTATAAGCCAGCTTTTATAAAGGCCATAGCTTTTGTCGAACATGGTGGAGGTAGCAGCATGACGAGGGTCGGTTTTTCTGCATTGTGCTTCAGTTCTGATACAAATATTTTTCTACCAGAAGCCAATTGACTGCTCCTAAAATCGTGTGGTGTTTCTGCAGCATTTATTAAAAAGCATAACTTTGAGCCTGTATGTATACTTCTAAACATTCCTTGCTAGGAGGTAAAAAAAGTCAACGAGATTTAAGGTCAGATTAAACAAAAAAAGCTCAAACTGACGAGGATATTCATGCTGTTGAGTGACCTGCACTCTTTATACTGACCAGCTCCTCCTCCCTCTGACTCCCTTCTGTTGGTTTCTGTTGTGTTTCGGCATCAGACGGTTTCTTCTTGCCAGATTTCTTCTTCTTTTTCTTCGTTTTGCATTGCTCTCCACCTGCAGATCCTACCCCTTGTAAATGGGAAGGCTCTTCCTCTTGGATACACTGTGGGTTGCTGGGGGATGATGGGTTTGTAGTCTCTTTTGTGTCCATATCTTCTGCAGATGGGATTTGAAAGTTGAAAGCAAAAGTAGACCCCTGCCCTGTAAAAGATAGTGATGCGGAGGGGGGCTGGCTGTGGTCTGCTACAGAGGTTTTATCCGGAGGTGGTGGAGCACCGCCTGTGAAAAAGTTAAATCTGAAGGAGTTGTCACTGCGACTCCAGAGAGGATTTATCTCTCCACCTTCAGCAACTGTGGAGATCTTTGAGTCTCTAATATCTGTTGAATGAAAAGATGAAAAGAGGTGAATTAATACCCTTAATTTGAGCACACAGTGCCTTCCAAAAGTATTCCCTTTGAACTTTTCCCATATTTATCTCTTTATGCGCATATTTTTAATATATATATATATATATATATACCAGCGGAGTTCTCTGACTTCAGAGGTTCTAGTAACATCTAAAAGATCCAGGGACCCAGCAGTTAAATCACATTTTAAAGCAGTGTTGCCGGTAGGTTCTAAAACAAAATCCCTGATATTGAACATCTCCAAGAGCTCTGATCCATCTGTGAAGGAGAGGAGATGGACCAAACGAAAAATAGACATGATCTAAACTGTTTTCAAAATCAAAGAATTGATGAATATATATTAATTAAAATACAGGTACATAAAATACTGTACATAACCATGCACAATTCACATTCTAAAACATGCTGGTGGCAGCATAATGCTGAGAAGTTTCTTATTCAGGTCGGTCAGAGCTGATGGGATCATGCATGGGATTTAATCCATGGCAACCATGGAGAAAAATTTGTTGAAGGCAGCAGAAGACTCCAGTCTGAGGTTTAGGTTCATATTACAGCAGGAACACAACACACAGCCAGGGGGGGTTTAGATCAAAACAGATTCACGTCCTATTTAAATGACAGATTAAATGGCAATGACTAAATTCACTTGATAATCTGTAAAAAAAATAAAAAAAATAAAAATAAAAATCACATGTAATGAAGTGTATCTGTAAGGAATAAACGGCAGAAAGGCTATCATGTGGATGGTGGGAAAAAACTCCAAGATCAGCTATAACTGCACTAATCGCACCAATAATTTTTGTAAAAAAATTTCCCTTTAATTTTACATTTCTATGCTGTCACATAAAATCCCAATAAAATACATGGATGTTTTCTACCGTGCCAAAAAAAGTCTGAATGTTTAACTTGTATAGATAACAATAATCAAATACTAGATTTTAAAAATGATATTATCTAAATAAGTACAGTCATCTAAAGCAGAAGCCAAAAATGTATTGAACAGGCACACATTGTTTACCTATACAGAGCAGCCTTTCTTCGCTCATGCTCTCCTCCAACAGTCGTTGAGTTGCAGCCAAAAAAAACTTTTTACTGCATTTATTGTCCTTAAAACAAAGAACTTTCAATGATCATCACAGAAATACGTTTTCACGAGCCCCGTAATCCAAAATTACATTAACCAGTCACATCGCCACAAACCAATGCTGGTGTCACTGTCTAATATGCCCGCGAGATACTAAAACTCCAACCAAAAAGTTCCGCTTCGTTTAGTACAGCTCTATAGACTTTTTTCAGTTTTTTCAGTAAGCAGCAGTGATAAAAACACTGTAATGGGAAAAAAAAACACTGTGGTGGAAAAAAATATTAATGTAAACATACGACTGTATAGTAGGGAAGATGAAGAGGGCCACCGAAAAAATAAAAAAGTCAGAATTCTGAGATTAAAGTCAGAGTTCTGAGAAAAAAGTCAGAGTTCTGAAATTAAAGTCAGAATTCTGAGCTTTAGGTCTTAAAGTTTTTTTCTCATATTATACTGAAATGTAATCTAAAAATCAGTTAACTTATTTTTATTTTTCCAAGTGTCCCTAATCCTCTTCCGTAGCATAATTAAAGTTCCACCAGTGTAGAACTAGTTGTATTCATGGTTAAAATGGCACACGGTACTGTTATACAAGTGGACAATTAAGAAAAAAACATTCATTAAGATATTTGTAAAATATCACTTGTTTTCTTTTTGCTCAGATCAAAAACTAAAGAAGATAATAAATAAATCGGACTAATGTCTGACATTCTGCAGACTGTTAAAAACATATCTACCAATCTCCCAGCGGATGAGGGAGAAACAGTTTGGGGGTGGGGGCGGTTGTTAGAAAAAGTGGCGGGCTGGTTTCTATCCATTTCCCTCCTCTTTCAATACAACCACAAAGGATCAGAGGAACATGTGCTCTAAGTTTATAGTATAGAACATTTTGTTTACATTCACTTAGGCTCTATGATCAGAAGGAGCTTAAATTCTGTGTGAATGCAAACCCTGTTTTTCTGTATCCTTTGCTGTGTTTCTAAATATATGTAAAGGTTATCTAGGGCTACTTGGGACATGGATTTATTAGAAAGACATTAATCTCCCTTTTGTACAACAATACAATTGATCAATCAAAGCATAACTTTATGAGTCGATTGTGAAATACTGACTATTAGGGAAAGTCCGTTCCTTTTAATGGAAAGAAATAAAAAGAAACAAAACAACAAAGCTAGTTGGAAGCCTGAATTTTAGGGCAAAGACTCCCTATATTTTTTCTTTTTGATGAGCGTATAATATGAACCGCATTGGCTCATTTTCTGGTCACGTTGCTTCCGTCAGCAAATTTTGACCAATCATTTTCAAACAGGGGCGGTCTTAAGACCTTAGACCCGATTAGACTATAAATATCGTCTCGCTCTCCCTCCACTTGCATTTAGAGACAAGCGACGTGTCAGAGAGAAGCACGAGTTCAACGGAAATCAGAGCACAACGGTAATTTGTTTTAATTTGCTAAGCATTTTGTTCTCGGTAGTGTAAACGTTAATGGGTTGTGTTGGTTAATTTTACGTGTGGCTTCTGATGCATGTTGAATCTGTTAATAAACCGAAGCGCGCGCGATCACTTAAATCAACAGTCTCTTAGATAAATATCTTTAAAGTCCATTTTACCGCCAAGCCTTAAATAAGTTAATGTTTTTCTCGATATTTTTTCATCTCACGTGGGAAGTTTAGAGACTATTTTATTTTTTTGTATTTTACCTGCTTCCATGGTAGATAGCTGGCGCCATTTTACAACCGTCGCTGCCAGCTTCTAAATTGAACCGTAGTCTGGTGAGGAAACGTGTCTGTCCTCTGTAGCTTAATGGTGGCGGCACTCTGAAGATTTTCAACTCAGGATTTAATGGTTTTTAAAAGAGGCGCCACTTTTCCCGCCTGGTCGGAACCACACTGCCGTCTTTTGTAGTAGAGTTAGTTTTTTTGTTTATAGAGCTGCTTTTCAATATTTGAAAATATTGCAGCATACGTTTTCCTATTTTATGAGGCCAGGTAAGCCGCTCATACACGCGGTTTACGTAGCCTATTTTTAAGTGCATTTATTTTGACGAGATTTGGATTACTAACATTGTTTTTGTTTATCTTCCTCTTTTGGTGTATAGTTGTAAAAAATGGCTCGTACCAAGCAGACTGCTCGTAAATCCACTGGAGGAAAAGCACCCAGAAAGCAGCTGGCAACCAAAGCGGCCAGGAAAAGTGCGCCATCTACCGGTGGAGTGAAGAAGCCCCACAGATACAGGTACAGCTGCTTTGTTTACACTATTTATTTTGTGGACAAAATAGTCAGTTGTGCAGAAAGGCTCTGATATCCAACATCTATATTTTAGATTTACCCAAACTGACAGTGTTCTAAATCAAATTGAAATAAAAAATTGTGTCGATTCTTCTTTGTAGGCCAGGTACTGTTGCTCTGCGTGAGATCCGTCGGTACCAGAAATCCACTGAGCTTCTCATCAGGAAGCTGCCTTTCCAGCGTCTCGTCAGGGAAATTGCCCAGGATTTCAAGACAGACCTCCGTTTTCAGAGTGCAGCTATTGGTGCCCTACAGGTTGGTTAATATATTCATTTATATTTTTTGGGTTTTAATCTAAAGTGGTGCTACATTAATAAATCTTCTCCCTTTTTTTTCTTTTTTTCTGTAGGAGGCCAGCGAGGCTTACTTGGTTGGACTGTTTGAGGACACCAACCTGTGTGCCATCCATGCAAAAAGGGTCACAATCATGCCCAAGGACATCCAGTTGGCCAGGCGAATCAGGGGAGAGCGTGCATAAATGATGTGTTTTGATCTTTTTAACGGGGTGGGTGGGGTAGTAGAGGTTTAGGTCAAGGGATGTTTAAATGAGATGTTTTTTGTAAATTTCAAACTATTACCAGCATGTGTGGGTTTTTTTATTTGTAGTTTGAGGCATGTTCTTTTTTGTACGTGTCATTTCACTTTCTCTCAAATAGTCCCATGCATTATAGACTACAGCTTCTCTGTAAAATGATCAGTGTTCCATTCCTTTCTTTGCAAACAGTATCTGCAATCCTGTGTGCATGTCATGGGGTTTGTCTTGTAAATAAACTTTCTGCTACCTCATATTGTGTATTATTGCATTAAATATTTGATAGTTGGAGAGGGCCTAGTTTAGGTGCTCAAGTCAAATGTTGACATGGGCTGGCGTATACACTGGCAAAACCAAACCTACATTGAATAGAGCTGCCACATATTTCAAATTACCTTTTACAAATCACATCAGCGTACTTGATTTGTTCTGAGGTGTCCCCTGGTAACAGAACTGATTAAATAAAAAAACAGATTTGACCTTGTATCTGCAGTCATTTAAAAACAGGATTATAAGCTGTAAAACAAATTTCACCCATGGTTAAAACTACAGTTTGGAAAGTGGTATGATTTTCAAATAAAGGTTACTGTTCCGCATGCGCTTATGGTTCAGGGGTATTGAGCTTTTTCAGCTTGAAAAGCAGGAACCTGTATCTGTTTTAAAGTACATCCATTCCAAAACAAATTTTTAATTCAAGTTAATGGCAAATGCATGACAAATCTTTCATTTGGAGCAAAGGACGGGCACACTTGTATTGATCAATCTACACAACTTTCATGAGGTCTGAATAAATATCTCAAGACACGAGTCACTTATTTCAAATGTCACTTTCCATCTTCTGACTCATCTGAAACCAAACTGGGTAAATGTTCATACAGCCGCTTCTCCAGCTGTGCGTCAACGCCCGTCTCCTCCCTCAGGGCGCACCACAGCAGAAAAGCAGTCAAGCCGAGGCTGATGGGAACCACTTTCCACCAAGGCCTCTCATACTGGCTGCCCATGGAGCGGTCCACTCTCCAGGTCCTGTGACTGGCTTTACTGGTGGAAAATTTAATGGGCTCGCTTTTGGCCACTTCATCCTCTTCAGAGGGTTTTGATCTTGCAGATGCCTGAGAACTCAACGCTAGGAACCTCGCACTGTAGGAGGAAAGAAAGCCTCTATGAGTACGGTTTGGATGGTTGAGTGGGGGAAAAGAGTTACATCAGTTAAATATAAATCATATCTATATTTTGGAGTAAATAATCCAGTAAAAGAAATACTTGATGAGTTTAAACTCAATATAAGGCATCTGGGCGCTTGGAATATTTATATATTTGAAAGGCCAGTGCATAGTGCGGTGATTATGTCGGAACTATTGAATTAACATAAACAGACTTGGTGATTTAATTTTTACAGCTATGCCTAAACACATCTTTTGTGTAATTGGATATAAATGTGAGATCAAACATAATGTATGACTCTGACAACCAACAGGAGACAAATTCATATTACATTTGAATGTCAGACCCTCGATTTATTATTGTTTTTATGATCATTCAAAGCCTGGCCATTATTAATCTCAGGGTCATTGAAACCTAGATGAGCCCCGGTGTCAGATTCCCACTCACCCCACGGTGGCTGGCGCGTTTTTCATCAACGGTCCGCTGCTGAGGATCCTTCGGCTCAGACCACTAACAACTCGTCCTGCTGTTGGAGACATCTCGGACCAACGGTCATCTTACTCCATACAACTTCAACAGTTTTCTAACCAGCCGTGCTCGGTCATGTAACACAGCCCTGTGCAACATTTAAACTCTTCCGGTGCAGCACACGGACTGCTGCTTCCAGTAGTTCCTGGGATTTTCGTATAGTTTTTCTTTTTGTAAAAAAAAAAAAAAAGAAAGAAAGAAAGAAAACAATAAATAAATATATAGTTTTTCTTTGTATGTATGTATGTATGTATGTATGTATGTATGTATGTATGTATGTATGTATGTATGTATGTATGTATGTATGTATGTATGTATGTATGTATGTATGTATGTATGTATGTATGTATGTACGTACGTACGTACGTACGTACGTACGTACGTATGTATGTATGTATGTATGTATGTATGTATATATATATACTGCCTTAATTTTCACAGATTTTATAATGTTTCCATTAAATGTGTAATTCCGTTGGATATTATTAAATTTTTCAGTTCAATTACACAATAAAGACACATTATTATATATTATACATTATTATTATAAGTTTAAAAAAAACAAGTAATAAAATAATAAGTAAAACTGATATAATGATATCAATAAAAGGCAATAAAACCCATTACTGTCATTAGATTTCCGTTCCTAAAGCAGAACAAGCTTTAAAAAATTGTTTGTTTTATTTATCGTAACATCTGTAAAATCTAAAACATTTCCAGAAACTATTAACAGCTGAACCCCTACGATTATGGCATCTTCAGCCTTGCAGTATTTCCTCAGCAGAGGATGGCAAATCTAGATGTACTCACAGTTCAGTAATCCCACTGGACGGGAGCCCACTGTTGTTCTGTAGACTTACTCCAGCTCTCCTGGTTCTTCTCCTGGAGCACAATTGCGAACCCCTCTCTTGTTTATAGAACAACACTGATAGAGACAAGGATGAAAACAGGAAGCTGGGAAACATCACAGGTGATGGATCAGATTCTAAGACACAGGATATTCCCCATCCAGTTCCTATTTATTGAGTTATAAATTTACATCTTACTTGTGTTTCGAGTTGTATTTCAGTTTGAATTATATTTGCAACTTAAACGCTGTGAATAGGAGCTCTTGAAGTATTCAGCTTCTCAAGCAGGAAATGTTCATCCTGTTATCCTGCCTAAAATCATAACTTAGAACAAAACCAGACTTATTCTGTAAGTATTTTTTCTGTTCTTCTCTCTACCAGCAAACAAAAGAATAAAGTTAACATATCTGTGCATTAAACTGTATTTTATTAACAGGAATACAGGAAACGGAAAGCGAAAACAAGGAATCTCTGTAATCAAGAAATGTTATTTATTTATCTGCAAAGCACAAAAGTAATAAACATCATTTAGTGGGAGAAGCTATTGTTGTTGCACGCCAATATACAGTAGGTGGTAGTATGTATCTATGAGCTTCTTCTTCTTCTTATGGGATTTTATGGCGGTTGGCAGACTTGTGAATTGTGCATTACCGCCACCAACTGATATGGAGTAAAGCAAGAAAACAGGAAACGATTCACCCCCCCAAAAAAAAAAAAAAAAAAAAAAAAAAAAAAAAAAAAAAAAAAAAAAAAAAAAAACCTGTGTAACTTAAACCAACATAATACTAAATCACATTTGCCCATATAATTTTAATTTACTCTAGGTCATCTTAACTCTGCCAGTTTCTGATGGTCCCATCGGTCCTCCCATCATACTTCCAACCATCTCCCAGTTCAAATCTTTAATGTCCAGATATTTTTCTGCAGCCTTCACTATTATTTTGATTTTTTCCGTTTTTTTTGTTGTCTGTGCAGTACAATTAATAACTTCTACCATGAAAAGAACAAAATTTGTCTTTTTAACAATAAGTGAGTCTTCATCAATTTTTAGAGATTTCTCTAGAGGTTTGGAATTTGCTGTGTGTTGAACTGTAGGTTTGGGTTTTTCTGACTGAGATGGGATCCTTTTTGCAGCTTCAGCGTAGGTTATTCCGAGCTCAAATTTCATTTTTTTAATTTCCTCAGACCTTTTGCTTGCTTCACAGCCGCGATAGGCAGCAGTATGTTCTCCACCACAATTACAGCATTTTATTTTAGCTTCTTTTCCACATTTTCCGTACTCATGTTCTCCTGCACACCTTCCACACCTCTGTTTCCCTTTACAAACTGCTGCAATGTGACCGAATTTTTGGCATTTGAAACATCTCAATGGTGGAGGATTGTAGATTTTGACATTATAGCTTATGTAACCGATGAATACTTTGCTTGGTAATTGCTCTTCTTCGAATTTAATTAGCACAGATAAACTGTCAGATCTTTCTCCGTTTCTTGTTGTTTTTAACCGTTTTACTTCTTTTACTTTTGCACCTCTTATGTTTTCCAGAATCTCTTTTTCAGAAATTTTTAGAGGAACTCCTCCAATGACTCCCCTGCTGAACTTTTTGTTCTCCATTAAGCTGCACTGAACTCTTATCCCGTCAATTTTGTTGATCCGTATTGCTTTGCCTTGCTGGGCGCTGTCTCTGCAGATAATTAGCAGGTCTCCACTGTACAGAATTCTGGCACCTCTGACTTCTCCGACAAGTTTATTGATGGTTTTTGTTAAGTGAACCGGATTCCAATTTGTAAAAGAGTCTGCCTGATTAACGACTTTGAATATGACTTTGAATTCATTTTGTTGTGCTGTGGAATGTATGGAATGATCATCACTGGATTGTTCTGAACTAGATTCCCCTTGAACTGATCTCTGTTTTTTCCGCTTTTTCTCATTTTTTGATGTTGCTATCTTCCAACCTTCATTGTCACTAGTATCTATGAGCTGCTTGCAACCCGCCATAATAAGAAAGACGAAGAAGAAACCCTCAGCCAATCACAAAGCTCGTAGAGAAGATTGGCCAATCACGCTCAAGCTTAACGGGAATCCCTTCCTCTATTGGGAGCGCACGAATACTCCTCGCTTCTTTTTTTTTTTTATTTCCTTTCAAAAATAATAACTTGAAGTTAACACTGGTGTTTAATAAAGCTTCTTTCCTGATATTTCAATTTTAGTTTTTTTGTTAACACCTATCAGATGATGACGAAGGACAGGTCAGGGAAACAAAATTATCCCAAAGGAAAGAAATCACAGACCGATAAAGCTGAAGAACCCATGACAACTAAAACGAAGAAAAGGAAACACGTGGAAGTGGAGGTGGGTTTTAAACCTTTACACGAATAGAACTTTTTCATCGTTGGGGTTTTACGTCATGGACTAAAACAACGTGTTGCGATATAAGATATGGAATCCAATTATTCAAGGTTTCCTAGATAAAAATCAATGTGCTTACGCGTTTCTATTTTAGTCCCCTTTACTATGATCCTTAAACATAAAATAAAAATGTACCAATTACCTCCAACAGTCACACAATTAGCATATATACAATATATACTTGTATAAAACCTAAAGAGGTTAGGGTGTCCCAACTGTGGCCCTTGAATTTTTTTATGTGTGGCCCCAAACAGCAGGTCAGGATTGGTACAATCTAAATGAACTGAGAAATAACAAATAGACAATAAAATTTGTAATGATAGATTCAGATCCTCTTGAATATAAATTGTTCCGTACAAACATGTTTAGTAGTGAGTACCTGTATTATCCTTTTTTTTTGTCTTGCTTTCACTGTCTTAGTAGGTCAGGTTACAAACCTTCAGCCATCCTTTACTTGGAAACAGACTTTGAGACACCCACTCATTAAGGATTGTTAAATAAGTGCCAGAGTTTATTGATACAAGCCTTTTTTGTTTCTGGAAAAGATTGAAGGGAAAATAATAGACCAATAATAAAGAGAAAAACAAAATGACCTTAAAATTGGAGTGGGGTGGGGGTGTTAAAGAGAGAGAGTAATTCCCTATAAAATAATTTAAAATAATTTTTTTTATTGTAAAACTAATATCATAATGATCACTTTGAAATGGTCAATTCTTAATCAGAGTAAATACGTCACCCCCCAACCTAATCTGACCTCCCAGACATTGACAGAATCAACCCTCATGGTAACTGAAGAGATTGCAGATAATATGCACTGCTCAGATTGAAGAGACAGTTGACAGGCTAACCATTAGCCGTACATGCCATAAATATGGCTTTTATGGAAAAGCAGATTGAAGAAATCAATGTTTCGTGGTAAAATTATAGCTACAGAGAAGATTATATACCAGCTAGTAAGGTCAAAGTTAAGCTTTTTGTTGTAAATGTTAAATTTTATGTAGGGAAGAGCTAACCCAGCATAAAACACATCCCTATTTTAAGGCACAGTGTTGGTAGGATCATGCTTTTCGAGTAATTTTAAAAGAAGGTGTGAGGGTTGGGGTACTAGTGGTTAGGGCATAGAGCTTGGAATCCTGAGTTTATGAGTTTGAAACCCACTCCCACAGACTGCCATTCTGGGTCCCTGAGCAAGACCCTTAACCCCACACTGCTCCCAGGGTGACCCACGATGGCAGCCCGCCGCTCCCCAAGGGGATGGGTTAAAAGCAGCGAGTGAATGTCATTGCTCTGTACTGCCTGTACTTGTGACAGTGTAATGACAATAAAATGCTGAGGGGAAAAAATATATGTATTCTGTGTCCAACTGGTGTCTGTCTGTCATGTTAAAATCCTTCAAGACACATTAGAAGCTACTATTGTTTTAAAATAAAAAAATAAATACAGACATAAATACCTTTTAAATATTTATTTTCAAAATAATATCTTTTTTTTTTTCTTCAGGGAGCTGCAGTACAGATTCCCCGAGTTACAAACCCAGATGAGGAAACAAACAAAAAGCAAAAGAAGCATAAAAAGAACAAGGTGACAAAAGACGCCGACTCAGAGCTTACTGAGGTGAGAAGACAAAATACTGAAACTGTCCAGTTTATTATGCTTCCCTGATGCCCGTTTGTAATCACTGCTTTCATGATGCGCAGAACACAGTCGGATACAATCACTGTTTCTATGAAATGTTGCTCTGATGTTGATCTGAAAACCTTTAAGTTTTATATTATTAATAAATAATTCTTCGTATTTACGGCTGTCAAGCTCCCTTTCTGTCACATTGTCCGTTAAAGTTTAATTAATCTCATGGCGTGACTTTAGCCTATGATCCGTGTCAGGACAGTCTGTGTCGGCTTTCAGAGGTGGAACTAGAGGAGTCGTTCGATGTGTCCCATGTTGTAGGGGGACAGTTTGGGGAAACTGTTGCGTACATGGCTCTTTCTGAAACAGACCTGGAAAGCTTGGGGCTTCTGCTCTTCTCCCGAAGAAACAGCCTCAGCTTTCTCCGGAAAGTCTCTCCCAGAAAGCCGTAGATCAGCGGATTCAGACAGCTGTTGGAAAAGGCTGCGAGCCGGACGGCGTGGCCCGTCAGAGGGTAAAGCTCCCACAGCGTGCTGCTGCTGTCTGTGTCGCCCTTCAGGAGGTGAATGCTTATGAAAACATTCACCGGGAGCCAGCAGATGAAGAAGACCAACACGGCGGCAGAGATCATACGCAGAGCTCTCTGCCTGCGAGGCCTCTGCTGCGGGTTGCATTGCTCTCTCTGGCTGCGCCGCAGCACCTGCCCTATCCTCCAGTAACACACGCCCAGGATGCAGAAAGGCAGCAGGAAGCCCAGCGTTACCTCCAGCCACTGAATCTGGCTCACGTTAGCAAAGCAGAAGTGAAGCTCACCCGAATGCTGCACTTGAGCTACAGCGAAAGGCAGAAGGGTGAGCACTGAGGAAAACACCCAGATGAAGCAGCAGCTGAGGCGGGCGTGCCCCATGCTTGTTCCGTTGACGCAGGTTAGCGCAATGAAGCGGTCGATGCTCATCCAGGTCAAGAAGAAGACGCTGCTGTAGAGGTTGACCTGCTGGAAAAGATTCATGAAGGTACAGAGGCCGGTGTTGTCGTAGTAACCCTTCTTCAGATTAAATACCTCAATCAAAGAGTCGGCCACCAGAATGAGGTCCGCCGCTGCCAGGTTCACAAAGTACAGGTCCGGGGCCGTCAGACGGCCTTTATGGTGCAGGTTGACCACAAGGATCAGGATGTTCCCAACGAGGCCGATAGGAAACAGGATTATGGTGTAAAATCCAGATATTAATATGTTTATAAGATAATGCTCCGCGTTCTCGGATGAGGTCTGCAGAACGCCGGTGGTCAACTGGGTGTCGTTGGACTGCAAGGTCAGGTTTTCTCCAGCTGTGATTCTGTGCTCCATGAACATGCTCGTGTCCTTCTCACACTTTTCTATCCCGCCTCATAACCTTCCTGCTAACTATGCATATCTTTGAGCTTGAATGATTGTCGAGGTCCGAGTTGTGGTCAGGCTTCCCGTCCGAACAGATGATGGTGCTGAAGTCAGCTCTGGATCAGAAGAGAAGGAATTTGAACCTCAGTTTTAAGGAAAAGAATCACATTGCAACACAAACTACAATATGTTCACTGATGGATCTTATATAATAGACCAAAAACAAACCGGCTCATAGCTGAGAGGTAGAAAGAACAGATTGATTTGGTTTCAAGGTTTGTTTTTTGAAAAATATAAATATTGATTGTTTGATTTCTTTTCTTCCCCTTTAAATACAATAAAATAAAAACTTTCAACCAATTCCTTTTAGAAGTCTGATTAATCATAAAAAGCTTACAGCTTAATCCAGTTGTTCTGTGAGGATCTCAGGGGCTTGTCGGAGACAAGATGATTGAGTCGTGCAGGAGACACAGAAGTGTATTGAACAGGGTTCTCAAGAGGAGGAGAAGGAGGAGCAATTTAGCTATTAATAAAACCATATGTATGACAGAGCACAACCATGGCACATTAACACTGAAAAGTCAATTTCCATTATACCCCTGAGAGGGGCTCGCCATCGTATTTAAGCTTAGCGGGTTGTTCCGCTCAAGATGTTGCTGTTAAGCTAAAAATCAGGCTATTTTTTTTATCAGTATATTGGCCCTTTGACTGATTGGGCTTCTTCCCCAACGCATTTCAGCAGAGACGCTGGGTCTTTTAAGGTTACAGCGGAATCATGAAGATACACATTTTCCTCCTTACTCACACATATATTGTGAACCCTGCACCACGTCGACTTGAGTCCTAAAGACAGGTGAACAGCCCACAACGACAGAGAGCAAGCTTAAAAAAACAATGAAATAGTTCCTTTCTGTTACGCTCATAGAAAAATATCCTGGTGAGAATCCTGCCCTGACATGGTGGGGAGAGCATAATGCTGTGGGATTGTTTTCAGGAAGATTGATGGAGCTAAATTCAGGACGATCCTGAGAAAAAAACCTGTAGGAGGCAGCAGATCAGCGAAGGTTCGCCCTCAGCAGGAGAACCACATCAACAACCAGCTGGACATGCGATGTATGCTTTTAATTGAGGCAGATTTAGGGGCTAGAACGGCCTACTTAAAGTTTAGACATTCATCTAATCAAGGATCTGTAATGAGATTTGAATACTGATTTTGGGCGAAGGCTCTCAATCCAGGCTAACTAGTCTGCATTTTTTTTGTTTGTTTTTTTGCAGAAAAATAAGAATAAATTATATGCTTTAGTTGTTAGCTGGAAGCGAGACGCAACCAGAAAACTAACACAGGGACAGTTTAGTTCAAGTGAATGTGTGTCACCTTCTTTCTACTTCACAATTAAACTCTACTTTCTCTTGATCTAAATACAGAGAGGTTTATTTTTGGGATGAGACCTAACATGAGAAATACTTCCTTCAGTAACGATATAAGTTAGAATCCTTCAGGAATAGAATCAGATTTAAAAGATGAGGTTTATTTTCTAAGCTCTCATGAATATGAGGATTCATCAGCGTACAGGACGAATGGCTAAACCCATAGCACCTGACCTGAGTCCAGCTTCTGATCCTCCTTGCAGTTCATTCCTGTTTTCTTCATTGGTTTTAATGTTGTTGATCAGTCTGTTTTGCCAGATTTTTCTAAATTTTTACTGTAAAATTTCCTCAGAAAGTTGATAGCGATTAAGAATTAGTCAAAACCTACCTTCAAGTCGGTTCTGGAGAGTATCTCTGTGTCGTCCGAGAAAATACTGAGAAACGGCGTCGTTCCACCCATCAACACGCTATGCAGGCGCAACATCGGTCACATGATTTCACACGATATGAAACTTGAGCGTCTTTCCAGGTCGGTGTTTACTAACTGCACCACCACTGGCTGGCTTTAAGGGGGCGGGGGGGGGGGGGGGGGGGGGGGGGGGTCGGTTTGTAATGAGCCAAACCTCCTGCTGAACCTGTATGAACCAGACTCTGAGGTGAAACTTCCTTTTAAATGTTGTAGGAGGTCAGAAAGCATAAATATGGGAGTACGGCTTTTTAGCAAAGACCATCTGGTGAGATGTTTACAGAAAACAGGATAAAGGGCACATGAGGATACTCTCAGCTCACCTCGTTTTTCCTCAGATACGGTTCTCTCTGCTTTTAAATTGGTCTGATGCTACATTTTAGCGGGAATTCATCATGATTGGCCTTTTCTTTATTATGCTCGTTGCAGATGAAGGCCTGAGCTTCTTTTAGGACATAAATGAGACGAAGACATCATTGTTTAACGAGCCACCAGTATCTTGTATAACCAATCTTTATATCAGTCTCCAGTTGATGCCATTCTCTGGCTTAACAGAGAGTACGTCATCCAAGGTTGGCAGTAGTTTCTAGAACAGGTGCAAAAGAGCTGGAAACTTAGCGGCATGATGGCTGAAACTGTGCTCCTTGATTTAAAGTGACTCAATGTTTCCAAGGTTGCAGAGAGCTGCAGAGATTTTTCCTGGCTTTTCTCTTAAAGAGTCCTTTGTGGAAAACTGTTCAGGGCAATGCGAGCCAGTGGTTGGTTCTGTTGTCCACCTGAATGCCTGAGTCCATATCCCACCTCTCCTCTCTGCAACCTCCTCCTATCCATTAGTCCCATCCGGCCTTAAATCATCACAGAACAGTAGTTCTTTTATCTGTAATTTTGTTTGCATTTTGCAAAAGTAGAACTCAAGAATTAAGTCAGGGTTTGAGTCATTAAATTATATTTTTTTTAAATTAAGACCTTAATTGGCATTAAAATTCATTAAATTTGATAATCGTGGCTAGAGGTGAGTTTTGGCATGAGTGTTGCGATTCGATACATGTCGCGATACTTGGGTCACGATACGATATTATCACGATATTGCAGTATCACTATATATTGCCATATTTCCCCCAGCTATCAAAATCAAATGATGAGATAAAACAGCAAGTGCTGTATATTTTCATCAGAAAATATTGTTTAGGTATTATTATCCATGTTGTTTGGGGTTTTCTTCCACTGTCACTGCCTCAAATACAGATTTGATGCTGCACGCACAGTTAAAGGGCTCCACAGGGCTTTCTGCCAGAGTGGTGGTGCAGAGGTAGCCCATTTCCCCATCAATGTTTTATGTAACCATTTTTGTTTTTGAAAATCGATACTAAGAAGTGAAAGATCGATATTATATTGGTCAGCCGAATATCACGATATATATCGGCAAAACGATTATTTCCCAAACCCCTAATCGTGGCATTATAATGGCTTCGGAAAAGAAGCTTGAGGCGGAGAAAAGGTTAGAGAATGGGGAAAATGCAAATTTGAACCAAAGTGGCGGGAAAACAAGGAACTCAGGACATGGCTGCATCTTGTCCATGGTGAAGACGACGAAGGATTTTGCAGTGTGTATACATATATCATTTTTATTTTATCATGGGTTCTTGTTGATGGCATTAAGATTATTTCTAAGAGCATTAAAAGAGCATTAAAAAGCATTAAATAAGAGTTACTCATTTATGTATAAACCCTGTTAGTGCTTTTATGTGATAAACTGGTTGCATTGAGAAGCCCAAAGAACCCAGCGGGTCAAGGGAGAAAAGTGTAAAAGTTTAAAGCTGGGTTTGGTTGTAAATTAATGCTCCAATTTTTAATCATCCCCCTGATCTCTGTTTAATCCATCACCCGACCCTGGAGAAAAGCTGCAGACCTACCCAGACATTAAATTCTACCTGAACCAACAGGTCTAACAGGAAACCTGTGGAAGACGTGTTCCATCATTCTGAACACACTGTTTCCGCTGTTAGCCATGGTGCTCCAGCATCAACGTGTGGTACAGTAGCTGCTCTGCTGCAGACAGGAAAGCTCTGCAGAGAGTAGTGAAGGCTGCACAGAGGACTGTTGGAGTCAACCTCCCCACCACCACAGACATCTACACCTCCAGATGCAGGAAAAGGGCCTCCTGCATCATGAAGGACCCCACTCACCCAGCACACTCACTTTTTGTCCCGCTACCCTCAGCCAGGAGGCTGCGGAGCATCAAATGTAGGACAACCAGACTGAGAAACAGCTTCATACCAGAAGCTGTGAGACTCTCAAACTCCTCTCAGTCTCTCTCACTGCACTGTCCCTAACAACAATAACTTGGTCACTTCAACCCCTAACCCCCCCAATGACACTGTATTTGCAGTTTACACTTGGACACTTTAAAATGTTGCACTGCTAAATTTATCTTCCCATGCTGCTACATTACTCATACTTCATCCATCCTGTACATTCCTATTAATATACATTTTATTGTTCTACTTCTCGTTTTTATATACCTGTAAATATTTTTTCTATTTATATAATTTGATCTTGTAGCTAGTTTTTATATTTTATTTTTTATAATCGGATGTAACTGGGGCCGTGACTCTCAATTTCGTTCTACCTCATGTAACACGTGATGTGAATGACAATAAAGTCTCTTGAATCTTGGTGGTGGGAGCATCATGCTATGGGGGTGACTTCTCTTCTACAGCGACACTTGTTGCTCCTAGGTTTTCTAATTTGTATCAATTTTCAATAGGAAAGAACTTTACCAGAGCAACAAATTCTTCAAATTTACATTTATTTATTTCATAAACTTAAAAGTGGCTTAAAGAATACTTTGAATACAGCTTTTTGAACTTCCCATGACTGGTAACAAAAATGCATATTTACAAACATTTACATGTTAGAGGGGATTCTGCACAGGGTGTTTGATCTGTTGGGTCTCGTTTCGGACTGCTTGGACCGGTTAGTGGAATCTACCAATAGTTTGGAAAAATTAACTTCACTCTTTCGCCGGAGCAGAGAGTCCAACTGTTCAACCAGCTTGTTCTGTAGAACAGAGCAGTAAAAGGCCTTTTTTATTACTTTCTATCCAAGCAAAAACAGCTCATTTATGAAATATGTGTATGTGTAAGTTTTTATTTATTTATTTTATTGTTGGTCTGTTTGTTTTCCTCTGCTTGCATCCCTTTAGAACAAGACATTGAATGACTCTGAATGTTGTAAAAATCTACGCTGCACTGAGAGCAATGGTTGCTTTTCTTTCTTAAAATAACTTAATGGTAAAAAGAAGGAAGGAGTTTTTTTTGCTCTAAAAGCCTCCTATTGGGCCGGTTCTGCCATGTGAACCGTCTATGACTCGATGTCCTGCAGAGTGTCTGTGATCTCGATTTGCGGAGCGATGATGTTTCTGTTGGGCTGCGGATGTCCCGGTCTCCGACAGCAGTCCCTCAGCTGCCTCATCACGCCATGGAGACTCTCTCGACTCGGCCGGTGCAGCAGGAGAACAAAAATCAGGCTCAGGCTGCTGCCAGAGAACAGCACACAATCGGCCATAGCCAGAAAGTTTCGTTTCTTCTCCCCATCCTTGTTGGGTTGAGCCACTCTCTCCAGAATGATGCTGTAGAACAATTGGCAGAGAAAAATTAACACTGCAACGGTCAGAAACACAGGGCCTTCCTCAGAGCCGGACAGAAAACGTCCTTTAGATTTCCACTGCCGGACGCAGCCGCTTATCAGCAGTCCGAATTGGACGGTGAAGGGAACCAGAAAAGCCAAACAGAGCTTTGCAGCTGCGTATGAAACACCGGCGTCCTCATCTTCCTGTAGGCGTCGAAGTAATGCCAGCAGGACGGAGGTTATAAAAGATGTCAGGATCACCAGCGCCGCACAGACCCTTGGCTTCCTCAGCAGGGCATTTGACGGCGGATCTAGCGTCAGGACGAACGCCATGAGCACTAAGATAAGCAATCCGCACAAAGAGGCCACATTGATGGAGAAGGAAAGGGCGGCGGAGCCCCAGGCCGTCCGCGGCATGTATTCAAGTCTGTGCATCACAGTAGGGAGAGACAGTAGTAGGAGCAGCAGCTGGAAACCACAGAAAACCCAGAGGAGGCAGTCGAGCCAGGCCAGCCGTCTCTGAGCCATGTAGGTCTGAATGAAGCTGTAGAAGACGAAGCAGCCGGCGCCAAAGCCCAAAACTGCAAAGACACTGTAGGTGCATGTATATACTATGGGGTCCACAGAGGTTGAGGTTGTTGAAGCTCCAGGGGTGAAATTGGAGAGGGATTGAATAGTGGTGCTGGGCTGATAGGTGTCTGTGGTCAGATCAGACTGAAAAAAATAAAGTCAGAATTTATCATTAGAGTCCAACAGGTAAACTGTAAACATAGGTGTGCAGCTCCGGGCCTCCAGGGCCGCACCACGCTACTTTTAGGTGCATCTATGTTCCAAACTAGCTTATGCAAACAGACTACCTTCTTAGGATCTCATAGAGTTCTACATAGAGATCTCATAAAGTTTTACAGAAGCTTTTTATGAATTATCACCTGATTCGGGTGATTTGAAACAGGAAACCACCCTAAAAGCAGGATAGCAGGACTTAGTTTGGACTCCACTGTTAGAGAAACATGCTAGAGGATTTCCTCAGTCACACATTCAGCTCTGATTCTGAATGGATGTAGCTCCGACTCCTTTACTTATAGGAACTATGTAATTGGCAGCAGGTTGCCACTCACCATGTTTGCGTTCCACATCCCGTCGTCCATCAGCTTGAAAACAGTATTTAACCCACAGCTCTGAAAGTGATGCTCGCTGCAGCTTCTCAACGGCGGTTTTCAGACTTCTGTGGGCAGCACCCCTCTAGCATACTTTCAGAATGACTTTGTGACCATGTGATCAAAATCTTTCTCCTCCCTTCTTTTTTTTTCAGCATCTGTAAAATCAGAGAGCATACTGCCTCTTTTGTTCAACTTCCCCACAGAGAATTAGAGCAGTTCTTTGCTTTCAGTAAATCCTCTCCACAGAAGCAGGCTTCCTGACAGAAACCAGGAGAATCTGATCCAAAAATGAGCCGTTGGGTTTTATGTGCAAAAAGTTTTGTTTAGCAGGTGGATATTTTTAGCCGACCAGGGTGAGATTTAAGATGCTGTGCTGAAGGTTGTGGAGCAGCAGGCAGGAAACGGCCCACTGAGCTGCAGCACGACAGGAAGTGATTCAGACCTAGAAGGGTTTGTTTGCCCTTCTCCTCTGGAACAACAAAATGTCACTTTTTTGGGGGGGTTTGGGGGATTATTTATCTGCCATTAATGAAGAAAATCTGGAAATTTTCTAAGTTTAAGCTTGTGCCTGCTCCAGAAAAATGCTAAACTGTCAGCCTGAATAGTTTATCTGTGGTTAAATGGCTAAATGTGTCTCTTCCGTTTTTAGTGTGTAGTACATTTACTACTAGAAAGCAAGAACATAGGGTAGAGAATATAAAAAAAACTGCTAATGTTTTTTTTATGCTCTGGTTTAGATTACCTGATCACAGCAGGCTGTCCCAACAAATATTAAACTGCCTTAGATTATTCCTAATCAAAGCATTGAGATTTTGGAAGGGACGCCCAATGGATAACATCTCTGCCATGTTTTTAAAACGTTTACATTTCTCATCTTAAATGAATTCTTAAAGCATTTTCCTGGAGTTATTTCTAGATCCTTTGGTTCCATTAAGGAATTTTGGTTCAGTTATATTAAATTTCAATTTACTTTATTGTGTGCCCTCTCACACCTTGACGATTTAGCCAGCGTTTGACGGACGTCCTAGAATCTTCGAAAGTTTAGCGTATGCCAGCATTTTAGATGTACTTTTTTGGGAGTATACATAGCGTATTCATAACGAGTCCAGAACTAATTTATGCTTAATGCACGGCAGCATAATGCCCATGAAATGGATGCTGGTGCATCATTTCATGGGCATTATGAAGCATCAGTTAAAGCTGCTCCCCTCAGGAGCAGCGATGCACCTGGTCTGCATAAAAAGATATCTTTGATCACAGTATTCACCTGGCTGCTTTTTACCACCCACCAAAAAAAAAGAATAAAAAAGAAAGAAGGTTTGCAGTTGCAGCCGATTCAGCGTCCTATCTGCTAGGAAGGTCATGGTTGTTGGGCGTGGGCGTGTACGCAGGGAGGATCAATCACACTTCCCTTCATACTCATCCTATGATGGTGATGAAGTCTGGATAAGTACTGACAGTTTCTTTCTGTGAACCCGCTTTTATACAAAAATGCTGCCAATACGCCATTATACAGTAGCTGAAAGTTAAAAAAATGTTCAGCAGTCGTTTGGAACATGTCAAATACATTGATATGTGTTGGAGATAAGTTCTTGATAAGTCACTCATAAGTCATGCATAAGTTACTCATTAGGGGTGGAACAGTTCACAAAATCCACGGTTCGGTTCACGGTTTCGTGGTCACAGTTTTCGGTTCGGTATATGTTGGTTGTTAGCCTGACATGTTGGTCATGTTGCTGTTAGCATAAACAAAACGTGTTGCACAATGCTTGCACACTGTTGCACTTTTATCCACAACTTTCTTTCCGTCGTCATCGTAGGTCACTCTAAATGCAAAGCGCTCCCATACAGCAGACCTGTAAAGTGCTGCTGGCGCGTCTTCCAACTCCTCTTCTTTCCCACTCGCCATACCCACACAATTCTTCACAACAACTGATTTTTTTCTGCTACACCCGGCTACGCTGCTTCGCTTCTTCTTCTTCTTGTTTACTACTGGTGGTTGGCTTTGGTCGCAGTACCGCCACCTTCTGCTCTGGAGTGTAAACGCTTCGCCTATGAGAAAAAGGAGCTGCGCATGAACCGAACGCAACACACACGAATCGAACTGAGACAGTCGAACCGTACGGTTCGGACGGTTTTCATAAATCATCCCATCCCTATTACTCATAGGTTTTGGATAATCTAGACACCACAACTTATGAGTGATTTACACTTAACGCATATCAACGATCAGATAACTTACCCATAACTTATGCCCCACGTATGGCATACCCTGGCATATGTCAGGACGTACTCGCCATATGTCAGTGTACTTCAGCGTGCTCATAACTTATAAAAAACCTACCCATAACTTATCCAACGTATGCCAGCTTTTTTGCTAGATTCTCCTACGTCAAGCATACACTGGACTAAAATTGTCAAGCTGTGACAGGGCCTTTATATAGCCCCAATTTACAACACGTCATCACAAGGCACTTGTGCAGTCAGATTGGTTCAAAGTCGTATTGGTTCAAAGTTTTCTATCTAAGGAAAACGGGTTGATTGCATCGACTCATTGACTTGAAAGCAATCCCTCACACCAAGCATGCTTGTAGCAATGGTGGAGAGGAAAACTCCCTTTTAACAGGAAGAACTCCAGCAGGACCAAGCTCAGTGAGAGCGGCCATCTGCTGAGGCCGACTGAGGTTCAGCGATAGAAGTAGATGTAGAGAAAGAAGCAGAGATACAAAAGGCAACTGTCAGTCAACTCGCGGCAATTAGTGGAAATAATGCAAACATCTAGAGGACAAACAGTGAATGTGTGGAGCTTCCTAAGCCTGGACTTAGAGGTTAAACTTGAAGCACTTTCATAAATCATAACACAATAATGATTGATTCTAGAGACTGGAAAGATGTCCATCTTTTCCTAGACCCAATATTTTTTTTGTATTGCTTATCTCTAATAACAAGCTGTACACATGTTTAACCCATGCTTTAACTTATTATGTTTTTAAGTTTAATATATTTATGATTTTTTTCATGAACCAAACCGCATCTGTCTATGTTTTCATGACCAGAAATGTTTTCAAAGAGCCGTATTTGTGTTTTCTGAGACATCTCGCTCAAAGGAGACTTAAGTTGGATCAACTTTCTACCTTCTATGGCAGCTTCCACATCCAGCCGACTGTCCTGGACAGGAGCCAGAGGGAGAAGAGGACCAAGAAAAAGCTTTGACCCCTGAGGAGAAACGGGTCCTGGAAAGGAAGATGAAGAAAATCCTGAAAAAGGAAGAGAAGAAGAGGCTGAAAGCAGAAGGACAGACCAAGCCGAAAACTCCAGAACCTAGTCAGAGTGCATGGAAGCATTCCTTGGAGTACCTCGACTGGTAAGGACAGGTTGTTCAATACTGAAGAATATCAGAAGTAAGCTTAAAGAAAGTGCTATGTTGATATGCATATTGACTGATATTGACCCTACACTATCGGAATTAATCATACATACTTTTATTCCTCCTTTTTTAACGTGAGGTGTTAGAAAAACGAGTTCAGCGATATTACTCAGAATAAAATTATTGATTGATAATCAGCATTAGAACAACAAACAAACTACCCATTATAATTAGGGCTGGGTAATTAACTGCATTTGCAATATTATGGCAATTTAATAAAATGCAATTTTCAAATGTCAGGGCAACTTGATATAGGTCCCATTACATTTAATAAGACACTGAATTTGTAACACCAGTAGTTTAGGTGTCAGTGATTCACTGAAAGTGGGTTTGAAGCCACACAAAAACGCGGAGGGCAGAGAAGTAAGATTTTTTTTTTTTAACTCCAAGATTACAGTAAAGTCATGAAACAAGGGACTATGGACAAGTAAGAAACCCTGGAATGAAACATCTGAAAGCGTGTGATTAGGTTAAAACGAAAATCTAAATAAAATCAGTTTCAATATTGGTTAAAAGATTATCACAATTTAGATTTTTTTTTTGCAAAATAGGTGGTGAACTGCTGTATTGGTACCCATTAATATCCTGTACAGCGCTGCTGGTTTGTTTATTTCACATGCTGAATGTATAAAACTAATAAAAAATTCCAAACACGTGTCGATACCCAGGGAGATAGTCAGTTACTCAATACCATTTTTAAATACCATGGGGATAAAAAAGTAAAATAAAGGAATGAAAAATAGACCTCCCTTTTTTAATCTCAACATTAAAGATGCTTTCTCAACATAATCAGAGATTCTATTAAATAACTTTTGCAGACTTAGATATATAAATAAATTAATACCCCAAATATGACAATTTTATTATATGTTAACGTATATTATCCTTTTAATGTGAAAATAATCCAGTAATGTATAATTAACAGCAAAAATACGCAAACAAGACCTTTATATGGTACTGATAAAGCAGCAAATTAGTATTATATCCAGATGCAGCATTTGGGTATTAATTATTTTTTTAGTGTCTATGATTTTGACAATGTAATATAGAATTATAGATCCAGCTGCCTGCAGCATTTATTCTAAAACATGTCACAGGGTATTAGATGGGACAAAACCCAGGAAGCTTCTCTGACCAGAGGAATTCTTCCACATCTTCGCCTTCATGATGCATTTAAGTATGTCAGGTTTACTGGATTGTCTATATATTTAAGCACAAGTTTGAAGAGTTGAAGATTTTAGTTGAAGATTTTAAACTTTTTAATCATGCAGTGGCTATTCATTTTGATCCTTTCTTGATGCTACAAAAACAAACAAATCTGAAGTCACATCCATACCAGCTATTTTTTCCTTTTCTTGAATGAAACAAATGGAAAACATTCATCCCTCCTACATATAAGTCGGATCAGTTTGTCTTATAACACTGTACACAGCATTGTCATGTGTCCCATGAATCAGAGAGATGCAAGTAAGCTGAATAAATTTGTACTTCAGACAAATTTGGTAGAAATAAAAGACCAAATACGCTTCTCCAGGCTTGTTTCATTCACATATTCTTTATGTGAGGACCCCAGGAAGATTAGTGGCCATTTATTTGGCAGCTAATGGGGATCCTAATAAAGCTAAACTAAATTTAACACAAACTCTGATTTTACTTCTGGTTCTGCTATGCTGAAAACTACTCTGCCCTCCTGACTTTATTGCGTTTAATGTATAATCCTTATGCTTTGATTACCTAAGTTTATTTATACAGGTCAGTAATTGATCCAATGTCTGCATATCCTATTATATAAATGCATGCACATTTATTAGTAAAGCAAGATCTAATTTAGCCATCTTTAAGAAATAGTTTTGAAAATCCAGATTCTGTGGTTGTTTAGTTTCCTAATGGCACAATGTGATCTATTAGTCTAGTTCTTGCATCAGGCATAAATATGAATATTGTCCAATATGAAACAGGAAATATCAGAAAAGTGTCCTAGAAAGACATTAGAATCCCTTTATTCACATTCGGGAATATTCTGCACCCCGTGCCACCTGAGATTCTCGGAGTTGCATGCCCACTCTCACAACCCACTCTGTTTTTTGTCATTGCAGTTGGTTAAAGAAACGTTCAGCGTGGAAGTTCCAGAAGAACAGGCAGACGTGGTTACTGCAAAACATGTACGACTCTGAAAAGGTGAAAAGAAATAATATTGGGTCTAGATTTTCTTAAAATCGGACCATTGGTGGCGTCGGCCTCATAAGGACGGCTGCAATTCTTCAGTCAGCCTGGATTAGGTCAGCCTTTATGGTTCAGGTGTGGTGGATGTCACAAAGTTCATTCAGGAAAATGCCAGCAGCTTTACTACAGATATGTACCAAACCTGGCAGGGGATTCATCTTGTTTACTATAAATGTTAAAAACAGATTTGATTAACCCATTTACACTACCCTTGAAAAACCAATCCATGCCGAGACCGGTCCGAGCTCGGATCAGTTAACCAGGCCAAGCTCGGTTCTGACGAACGTTTACTTTAATACTGGCAGTAATACCGCAGATCGTCACTAGGAGGCGAGGAACCGAGATACGGTGATGTGTAAACGTTCGTCAGAACCGAGCTCGGCCTGGTTAACTGATCCGAGCTCGGTTCTGACGAACGTTTACACATCACCGTATCTCGGTTCCTCGCCTCCTAGTGATGATCTGCGGTATTACTGCCAGTATTAAAGTAGGAAATCAAGCAGTTGGTAGCGGTAATGCACCAAAAGTTGTTTGCCAACCGCCATAAAACACAAGAAGAAGACGAAGAAGGAGGGAATCAGGCAAATCAAAATGGCCCAAATTGCATAACGGTCTCAGTCTCGGGGTCATCCCAGGTCGCACCACACTCTTTTGAAGCCATTATATAAAATGTTGGGTGGAGAAGATTTCGATTGTTGTTTATAGTTGTTGTTCTTCTTCTGTTTTGTGTTGGTTGGCAAGCAACTTCCGCCAACTACTGGAATGGAGTGTGAATCGGGATGTGTAGCCAGATGGAGATGACACATTCTGCTCATGTGCTCTTGTTATCAGAGAACCGGGCCAGGGAAAAACCGAGCCGAGCCCACCTCTGGAACTGGTCTGCAGTCTGCTCGGTTCGGTTGTGTCTAGCTCGGTTCAGTTCAGTTTGCTTTCCATTTACACACGATAAATTATCTCAGTTACTGAGCTTGGACCGGTCTCGGCACGGTTTTTCAAGGATAGTGTAAATGGGGTAGATGAATCTTCTTAAAAGAACAGATATTAACACCTCAGTAATGGGGAAAACACTGATGTTATCACTAACCACACACTGGTATTTATACTGTGGCACCACCTCAGCAGTTTGATCATCTTTAGCTGCAGAAGAGATTTTTAAATCTATTTTTCTAAACATTTATCTTTGTTTAATTGTTGTTTAATTGAAGCCATTTGTAAATGGATCAAATAAAGGCGGGAAAAGACACAAAGAACACAAAGGGAAAAATTACTCTGACCTGTTCAACCAGGAAATGAAACCGATATAAATGTTGACTTTAGTTACTGTGCTTAAAGGTATTGTTAGACGTCATTTTTTTCCAAGTTAATTAAAGTATTCTAATCAGGGACTTGGCTATGTCACGTAGTACCTGCTTTATGATCCTATTTAGTACAGATATTTATCCTTAAGCTCCCTGTGAAATATTTTAATATATTAGATTTTTTTGCTCATAAAAAGTGTTGTAAATAGTTTTCTTTTTTTAACTTAAAGGGGGTGTTGATACATATAAACTAACCAAGATGGTAAAATAACTTAGTTATTCTGTTTCCTTAGATCCCAGACGATGTGTTTTCAGTTCTGCTTCAGTACCTGGAGGGGCTGTGTGGAACAGCGAAGGATATAACGGTCCAGAAGGCCTTAAAGCTGGTGGAAGAATCTGGAGATGCACCAAACGATGCAGTTGTCCAGCAGAGAGCCAGAGAAGTGATCCAGCTTTTATCCTGACCCTTGGGAACCACTGGAATGGATGAGATAACACAGGAAGACACTGAAAGAAGGGCCGGGTCTCCTGCCTGGAACTGCTGCTCTCTGGAAATAATTCATTTAAAGGCTCACGTGTCTGTCTGTGCTACTACAGTCTATAAAGACCAATATTTTCCTAAATGTTTTTACCTTCATATAATTCTTTGATCATTTTCTGAAAACAATAATATAGTTTTCCGGTGTTGAATGTCTTCAATAAGATGGAGATGAAATCTTCGGAGGGGGGTGGAACGCTAAGAAACTAGTGGAGGTAAAAGTAGTCAGGAATGCTTATGGTTGAGACATGTTGATGCAAGTCAGACGTGTATTCAGTCCAGTCCAGCTGATGACTCTTCCTGACACGGGAGAAAATATTCTGTGAAACCAACTCAGACCCTCAGCCTACATGATGTTCACACAGCCTCATTATGTAGAGTTTCATCTGTTCAATGATGCAGATCCACATTTTAGATCAAATGTTTACACAAACTTATCGACAGGCTGGAACGCTTTATTTTAAATAATTTATTAGAGATGCTTTAGCTTTTCTTTGTCTTTTTAAAAAAGATCTGGTGTTACTTTTTTGGGGAAATTTAAATTTTCTCCAATCCGTAAAAGTTCAGCAATATACATTTAGGCTCTCAGTCCATGTAGATGTTTCTCTCAGCTGCAGACAGTTACTCTGGAGCTAAGTGTTCTTATTTTCTGAAGGTGATAGAAAAATTTGACTAAAATGTTGGAAATGCTGCATAAAAGTGAGTTTGTACTACGGCCTGAATGACACCAGGGTTTTCCTGAGAGCTGAAACCAAAATGCATCTTTTCTCTAACACACGTGGATCTTGAAGATTTGGCTAAAAATGGTCAGGAGATTTGTGCTTCCTTTTGCTCACTGCATGGTTTAGATCAGTCCTCCAAATTCAAATAAATGCTGATTATCTGCAGATCTTGATATGCTGCAGTTTAGCCTTTTATCTAACCTCTGGGCATAGATGAATCTAAACATGCAGGACACTGGATATTGGGACACTGATGTTGACAAATCCTGGGTTAGAAGTTTCCCTTTAGCCACATCCCCAATTTACATGCTTATGTTGAACATGAATTAATTTAAATTATGCTTGTGACAAAATTAAAAAACATCCAAACTAGGTAAGAGCTGTTCAAGGGTCTTAGATTTGAACAAGAAAATATCCTCATTGAAAAGAAGATTCAGACTAAAAGGAGAAATTTTATCCAATGAGCTGTGAAATGTTTGTGGACTCAGATTAAAACATGTGAAGCAAACTGATCTTGTCTGCTTTCCTCTTGTTTGGGAAGGCCTCGGTTCTCAACAGATATTTTAAAGCGACACCAACTGCTTACATCTCCAGCTTTATGTTTTATCTTTTTCTTTTCATCTGTCTGAAGTCAACCACTGTTTCTTTTCATTTGTGTGCTGGAAGAAAAAAAAGCTACACATCCTCTTTGTTGTTGCAGCACAAAAGATTCACCTTGAGGTTTCTCATCACAACACCTCCAAATCTACAGTAGACAATGACTTTTTTTTTTAGATGGTGTGAAGACACAAATCGGTCAAAGAGAGGTGACTTTAAGGATGGAGGTATGTGGGTTGTCACCTCCTGGATGAATCGGCTTTAATGGTGAAGGCTCAATGTACAAACAAGAAAGTTAACGGATTTCATTCACTCAGTGTGAAGACGTTCATACCTGGAGAAAATTTGTGCACCCATATATTATTTTTTTTCATTAGAACCAAGGAGAAAACCATAGCTCTACTGGCTTGTCGTTTTTATATAAATATTGCTTTGTAAAGCTGCCTGTTCTGCATTTTTCCTGACTCTAAACCCATGCAAGTTCAGGATGTCGCAGTTTAACAGAAATCCAACACAATTTCCAAAGTTTTATTTTTAAATAAACCCTTACATTTTCATATTTGCATTTGTTTATTACCAGACAGAACGTTAAACAAGCTGACAGTTCTTCTGAAGATGTCCACCTTTCAGTTTAGAGAACCTTTTTTTTTTTTTGCAGCCTCTCTTAAGGTTCTTTCTAACCAAACCCTATCTAAACCATTACATCATGTTAAATAAATGTTAAAAAAAAATTGGTAGTGCAATTCAGGCTGCATCTTTTATTTCCAATGTCTCAGTAAAAAATTATACAGAATCGGTTTTGGCAAAGTCTCTGAGTAGGAACACAACTTCAAACCTAAATCAGCTTTAAGATGTGTCCCTTTCCCAACACATATTAACCAAGTAATGTTTCATCAATGGGCCTCTGTAGAGCTGGATGATTGAATGTTGATGAGGGGAATTTAACTATTTGAATAACGTGTTGGAGAAGGCCCGCATGCAAATGATAAAGGACAATATATCAAGGATTAGAGCGAACACTCCCACTTTAAAGTGAGGAATCGTCTTTTCTTTTTTCTATATGCGTGGATATTACAGGGGGGAGTGTCAAGATATGAACCTCACTAAAACTGCAATGGATCTTCCATTTCCTATAAAAATGTCTACAGAGGGGAAGTTTAATAGAGCAGTATGTACTTCAACCTCAAAAGCTTGGTCAAGCTTTTTCTACTATAGTCAGAGGGGGTAATAATGCCTAATTGGTGGCAACAAGAAGGTCTTATATTTGAATCCCAATCTGCGATTCTTTCAGCTAGATTTTCTCCAATCTCTGTGTGCACGCCTGGGTACTATTATCTTCCTCTCCCACTCCAAGTTAATACTGTGTATTTCTGTGACGAACTGGTGAAATGTCCAGCGTGTCAAACTCCCCCAGTGACTGCTGGCTGCTTGGTGAAGTAGTGTATCAATAATATATGCCGAAACAGGTTCAGTCATTATTCAGAATAACAGCTATTAAAACATGGCATTGTTACAGTTTTCCATCTTATGCCTGCAGGATGTTTTAGTTTCCAGTGATGCTGCCTCCATAAAACATCGGAAAAGCTTGCAGGGGTTGTGGAGATACTGGGAAGGTAACAGTCCAAACTTTACCCTAAAAGTCTGATGCAGTGTTGCCCAAGAGAATGAATCCACATTTTACTGGTGTGAACCTCGTTTCAAACAGACCAGAAAGACATTAAATCCCCTCAGGTCCTTTAAAATGAGCAGCCTGCCGCTCCTGGTGATCTTCACAGTAGATCGAAGATACCCGTGTCTCCTCTCAGGTGTTGGTCTTTAGCTGGCACAGTCACTGCACCCTTTTCTTCATCTGTCATATAAAATAAAATAAAAAGATCCATGCTATAGAGACAGTGTAAACATATATGGCAAGGCTGGTTTTAGGCTCACTTACTTGGCTGTGACTCAAAAGAAATATTATTCTGAGTGAGGAGAGCACGCAGTCTTGCCATCTCTTCATTCTGTTTTTGATAATCCTAGAACAAAATTACATACAAATAAATATCAACCATATATTTGAAGAAACACTCGCCCACCATGCGTAATCGTTGATGAACTTACTTCTTGGCATTTCTGTAAAGAGTTTGGCTTTCCTAAATCTACTTCTGCCTGTGGTACAGTCTCTGTCACTTTGTTGCTCTTCAAGAGTCCAGCATCCTGAAAAATATCTCTCAGGAGATTGTTGTAGCCCTGTAGTGCACATAAGATTAACATGATTAGCTAGCAATTTCATAGTTTTAAATCATCTAATGTCCGAGGCAGTAGTAGAGCTATGAATGCACTTTTCATGTTTTTAGCGACATTTAATGGTTTAATCTAAATCTACTTCCTACCTGCTCCGTGATGAGACCCTCATATCGGGCCTGCTCCGCTTCATCCCATTCTTCCTGCAGCTTCTCATTCAGAGTAGGGTACACTATAAATAAAAAAACGCAGCCCCTATTACTGCCGACATTCACAGCATAAAAGGAGGCTTTTATTGCTGACCTACCTAACAGCGAATGAGGATGGCAAACGAGCGGCGTCTCGAAGGTCAGCGAGTAAACACAGGTGCTGGGCTCAGATACTTGTACCAGTTTGCTGCTGTTGCTGCAGAGCAAAATCACCTGAACGTAACAAGAAACAGAAGGTTTTTTTCCAAAATGAGTTGACTTGACACAAAACTATTTTAGTATTTATTTACTTAAAATGTGCATATTGCAATCTTTATTTTTTCTTATCCTATTCTGCATATTTGATAAAATATATATACAGACACATAAATAAAAAATACCGTAATACCTCTGATGCACCTATTGGGTGTAGGCCTGTAAGATATTCTCACTAAGTGGTAAACTTGATTTGAATAAAAATTGTCATAAGATAATAATAATAATACATTTTATTTAACAGCGCCTTTCTGAACACTCAAGGTCACTTTACAGAAAATAAAAATAAATAAAAAGAAAGATGAAAATACAAATACAGGAACATAAATACAGTTATGGATAGGGAAAAGATATAAACCTAAAACAAGCTAAATTACAAAACAATCAAAGTTCCCCTTTAAAAAAAAAAAAGGAAAAAACTGTTCTTGTGTTGCTGAATAATTGTAATATATAAGTCATCATTGCAGGTGTAACACTGATATCTGTATTTGTAGCAACAAATATTTTAGAAAATGGTGAAAAAAACGCTGTTGCCAACTGCGTGAAAATTCAGTAAGGGCTCGGCCATGCACTTCTTCTACCCCAACCACATTACGAATTCTTAACTTTACATGTTTGTGAACTGAATTTGCAAAAATTTAAATTGAACCTGGATTACATCAGACACCTAATACTGTTTCCTAATACAGGACAGTTCCCTTTTTAAATTGACAGTTGGCAACCCTACTGTCAACTCAAATTTCTATTTCTGTGTAAAGCGCCCACACAAAAATTAGTATGCCATGTGCTTCTGTTAGCTGGATACGCTAACAGCAGTTAGCACCTCAACAATTCTCAAATGATTTTGCATGGAATTCATTACCATGCCTGACATTTGACCTGCTGCAGCATAATATCTGTAGAACTAAAGACTCTTAAAAACATAAAAATCAGCTTTCTGTTTTCTTTTGTTCTGTTTTCCATTTCATTTTTGTCTCATAATTATTGTTTCCATTTATCTCAAATGCAGCTTATACATCTATGCTAATAAATGGTTGTTTTAAAGTAATGCACTCTTTAGAAAAATATATAGAAATCTAGATTTTTTTATATATTAATTAAATTAAAAATAAAATAGAGCTCCTGACTCCTGCTAAAATTACAAGTTGCCATAGAGGAAAAAAGGCATCTATAAAGAACTCTTAAATTATCTCCAGAGATTGAATCAACACAGTATATGCCACAAACTAGGGTTGTACTCTATATCAAGAAATTTAATTACAGCCCTTTTCTTGAAATATTATCCTTTGAAATGCTGTTTTTCTTTTTCTAAACTCGTTTCTATAGGTGTCAACATTAATGCTGATGAGTCAACCAATGAGGTAAGAAGATTTATCAGGAAACTAGTAATTATTTGCCTGAGAAAAGAAAACTAATGAAGAGCAAGAAAAGGAACACAAACCTTTTTAAAAAAACAAAAAAACGTGTTTTTTCTTTTTTTTACCTTTGTCTCTCTGTTTCTGGTTCCACATGTGTCACCATCTCTCATCCACATGCCTGTGAAAGTGTTGTTGGCCATTTCCCACTCCTGCCAGATCCTATTAACATAAAATCACCAATAGTAGACTTACAATTTAAATTTCACTAATTAAAGATCATAATTTTCTGAACTGACAAAAATAATTTGCTATGTCTTACCCCAATATCCCACTGTAGGCGTTCCACCTAAATGACTGCTCATGCTGGGTAACATTGTGGAATGGACAGAATTCATATTTATACCTACAAAAGAACCAGTTACACAGGGATACTGTTTGCTTTAAATGGTCAACCTAATGGGAAATGGATGAGTCAGATTGCATCATGTGTTTCTTCAGA